CAAGTTCTTTACTTAATAAAACTGGTTTATTCTTTCCGAATACAACTTTACCGATACACTCAACTTCAACAATCGCGCTAAAAAAACACTATAACAACGAACGTCAATAATACTTCTGACCGCAGATCAATTACTCACTGTCTACACACACATTACCTTACCTTCTCGCGTCACGTTGTCCCCTCTTATATATACCCGCCTACCCTATCTAGTAAATACTAGAGCATTCATAAAAAAACAAGATAGTTCTAGAAAATAGAGGGCGCCATACCAGTCACGTGACCTCGATGACGCAACAATATTTTGTGTTGGGATTGTGGTTTAATCACATTTATATGTACAATTTGTGTCATACTACCACAGATAACACCTTTAGCGTCTGTATATTTGGTTCATTGTAATTTACTAACTATTCACCAGTGCAATGCCACCTGGATTGACTTATGGATGAAGGAATATCTCACAGCCCTTTCTGAAATAGACATTTGTATAGTGAGTTTGTTGAATAATGTAGCCAAAGGACACAACAGTTTAAAGAAGAAAACCTTCAATGTTCTTCATTAAAGTGGAAAAAATTGTATAACAAGGTGCTTGGGAACAGCAAGGGACTCTGAAACCATAACTTATTCTTAGCCAACTTCTAGCAACACCTTTATCCTTAAAGCAAAGATGAAGCTTAGTACACCTTCTGATGTAATTATCAAAATAACAAACTATGATTTGAAGTTGATGAAAGCACACGAGCTTTCAATCATAACTCAAAATCAGCTTTAATAGATTTCTGCTTAAACATAGCATTAGAAGCTGATAATAGTAAGGCTATGACGATGTGTGGTATAAGATTGGCCTAGCCATTTTAAGCAGTAGCTTGTTACTGTAGATATTGTAGTCTCAGGGAATAATGTGTAATCATTGTGTCCATCAGACTGAACACAATTGACAATTAGGAGTTAATTCAATGGAACTGGAACATGTAGCTGTCCTAGAAATTGTGATTAACTTCAGTACTAATATAAGTTGAGCATTTTAGATATGCAAAAATAAATATATTGTTGTTGGTATTAAACATTGATTTTTATTGAGTGAATTTACAATGGTAATGATCTGTTTTCATTAACTAACAATATCAGAGACATTATTATTTTTAATAAATAAATTCTTTTATTCCAAATATTAATTCAAAACTTCTTAACAGAAATTAATCCTAAGGATTACATCTATCACTGCCTTGGAAGTAAGATACAGCTATTGGAGGAGGACAGTGTGGAGGCTCAGCTTATTCTTCAGTACATCCACAATACAGGTAGCATTATTACATATTCTCATTACTGCTTTTTTATTTTATAAATAGAATAGAATTGCAATATTCTCATACTTTTTCATAACTGTTAAAAACTTATTTGAGAATCTTTCTGCAATACATATAGTCATGTTTTAGGTAATATTTTCCAAATGCTGCTTCTTAACTTTGTCAAAATATGGAAGTTGTAAATCCTGCTATTACTATTTACACAAAGTCTGACAATAAAAAAAGTTTGTATTTTAGATGTTTAGGTTTGTGATATGATTATAGGTAAAATAATATTAATTCTATTATCTTAGAAAATGATAACAGAAGGGCAAAAATTCAAGCAATCTATCAGATTCAACGAGAAGTTAGTTCAGAATTTTTCCAGAAAAACACCAGAAAACATATGCTGCTTTGGCATGGGACCTCAGCAGAAAATGTTCTCAGTATTCTTACTCGTGGACTTAGAGTAGCCCCTCTTGGGGTGAGGTTAACGGGAAGTATGTTTGGAAAGGTAAATATCCACAGTTCTTACAGATATATTTATTTGTAGGGTTCCAGATGCTGAATGACTTATAGAAAACAGAAATGAGTTTTTCCCCTTTTTTGCTGCTGCATATTGTGCGACTCACAATCAAATGAATGATACACTGTCAGAGTATTGTAGTCAGTAAAAAGTTGTTTTAAGACATACGAAAGCTGTTTCTTCTAGAGGAAATCAGAAGATGGAAATAATAATAATAGGAAAGATTTTTTTTCATGTGTCAAATTGTCACAGATCTCAATATTGTTAATATAGATTATTAAGATTTGTTGAGTCCTTTTTTTTGCTTTTAGGTCATCACTCAGAATTACTTATTAAAAGGAAAAACTAATGTTTAAAACCCACAGACAAGTGAAGTGTTTGAACATGCTCACTTACCATAATCCCTTGTCCAACTTTATAAATCAGTAAATGTAACTTTAGGTCAAAGCCTTGATGTTATTTATCAGTTATGTTTGAATTCCTTTTTTTATATATATATACTTAAGATCTTGCTTTTGGCTTCAAGATGTTGGCATATCTTCTGTTACTACTTATCTACAGTCATGAATAGACTCTTGAGCAAATAAGTTACATTTTATTGTCTTCAGAAATTGTAGTACTTAATGGAGGGGTTTAAACATTTAAAAAAATAAATGTTATAAAAAATAATATGTGCTATTCAGATAACTTAAAAAATATTTTTTTTATTGCTGACTGTTTTGCCACTGTGGCTTTATCAGGGTTTATATAAAAATTGATTTGTATAAAAAAATAATACATTAGCTTATTAAATCACTTGATGTTGCACTTCTTGAGACTGTCATAGCATGCATAGAACATTGTTCAGAATATTATTATTATTGTTTAACAATTGTTTGTAGATTATATAATTATGATGTTATTTTACTACGTTAACATTTGACATAAAATACTTATGTGAAAATGAAAAGATATAGTGAAATTGTTTTATGATTTATGTTTTATGAAAAAAGAGGCAGTTACAAAACAAGGTTTTAGTTTGAAACTAATTTCACTGAGTGTGTTAAAGTAAAACTGCAATTATTTACTTTGTTACTAAAAGTACAAATGTGTAGTTTTAAGATGAACAGTCTCTCTCTGTGAAGCTAATCCCTAAACTGTAGCAAACAATGTAAAGTGGTGTTTATAGTTTGAAATAACTAATGCATAGGGTGAGCTATAGAAGCATAATAGTGAATGTGGTTTTAGACTGTGTGATATGCATGTGATATGAGTGGTGATCTACAGGCTGTAATATTAAGGGTATTGGATATTGTGTTATGTAGGAGTTTAGTTTCACGTACCATCCTTGTTCTCTGTTGTTGTTGTTTTTTAATGAGTTTTGGTTCTGTGTATTTTCTCTTTTTAGAATCTTGTTACTTTTGTGTAAGATAGAAACTGTTAAGTGGGTTTTGGTTGTCTATGTTTGGGGTTTCATGTTTGTGTAGGCATTGTTTTGCCGGATGGTTTTGTATTATTCATGTTTATATAATGCTATAGTATGTTAAGAGAGGTTGTGTTTAAATGTCTTTCTATTTCTACAATATATGTGTTCCACATATATTGAATATGATTTGATAGACTATGTTTATAGTGTAGCATTTTTTCCTGATCCATTTTCTTAGGCATAGCATTGTTTTTTGGCACATTTTGTAAAATGAAGAAATATCGGCTTTTTACATTCTTTGTTACATGTAAATGCTGTATTTCTCTTTATTGATCTTTTAGAGTTATGTTTCAGAAGCTTAGAAAACTTAAGTTAGTCCTAAATCCACATACTAATTTTAAGCTAATGATGCAAAATAATGTTTCTAATAAAAATAATAGGATATTGTAAAATAAAGTATAATATTAATTTTAAGAAAAATGATAAAATATGAAAAAAGTTAGAATAAAAATTAGTGTACTAAACATTTTGACTAATACTGTTAATGAAAATAGCATCAAAGAAAGAATGCAGTATACCTCACTTACAGAACACATGGACACTGGTGGTTTGTTTCTTGTACCATCATAGATTTAATGTTCTTTGAAGAATTTGACATCAGTATAAGAAAAAATTTTACACGGTCCTTCCTAACAACATCTTGTGACCAACAAAAGCCTTTTAAATGACTCTGAAAATGTAACTTCATAGCAACCTGACATCTGAGATAAATTATTGACATATTACTGTTTAACTATAGAGTTGAGTAGCAGGACAGTAGAGCAAAAAAAAATAATGTTTATGAAGAAATAAAATAAAAAATTGTAATAAATATATTAAATGAATAGCAGAATCATATAATGTAGAGCAAGAATATTGATACTCTAATTAAAATATACCTAAGTTAAATGTAACTAAAAAGAATAAGTATTATACTAAACATACAATGAGGTGTGTCTAATACAATTAATCTGACTTTAACTAACAACTGTCGCTTTACAACAGGCCCGGCGTGGCCAGGTGGTGAGGGCACTCGACTCACTATCTGAGGGTCACGGGTTCGAATCCCCATCACACCCTCACATGCTCACTCTTTCAGCCATGGGTGCATTATAATGTGACGGTCAATCACACTATTCATTGGTAAAAGAGTAGCCCAAGAGTTGGCAGTGGGTGGTGATGACTAGCTGTCTTCCATCTAGTCTTACACTGCTAAATTAGGGACGGCTAGTGCAGATAGCCCTCTTGTGGCTTTGCACAAAATTAAAAAAAAAACACTTTACAACACACCTAGTGGGCAGCAGGAAGTAATAATTAAAGTTAAATCCTAAGTAGTAGGAGAAATATAAACTATAAGATTTGGGGAAACTCACAATAATGATAAATGCTTAAAAAAGGAAGCAACAGCATACGAGAAAGTAATTAGCAAAATCCACTGTAGCTTAACTAATGAAATAATGTTATACTACATTAAGAACTGTTACATAACTTAAATTAATTTTAGTAAAAACTTAAACTGGTAGGATATAAATATAGATTATGATGACCACCAAATTACTGTGGTTGGTAATATTTTTACCTTTAACAGTTTCTAAGAAATTAAAATGTAGATGTGATAGTTTTAAGAAGGTCATGATTTTCTGTAAAACTTTTAAACTTGTAATTGGTAGCAAGAATTAATTAATTAATTTGGTATTCAAAGTGCAATAAGAGAAACCTTGTATTTATTGGGAAGTATGTTGATGAAGTTACATAAAAGTGTTTTCAAGTGAAAATGCTTAGTTTGTAAGTTTGTTTATTGTGAAACAGTCATAACTTTTATGAGTTACGTTGTCATAGATACATTTGTGTTTACTAAAGCAAAACATTAATTTATCAGAATTCATAAAAGATTTTCGAGTTGTTGATGAAATACTTTAATTTTGTCAATATGACTGGTGTAAAGATAACTTAAATCAAAAGTTCCTGTTCTTTTAGACTCACATTCTTTAATTTTCTCATTACAATTTTATCAGCAAGCCCAATTCTTTTCTAATAGTAGGTTAATATACAATAATGAAAGAACATCAAATTTATGTGAATACAAGATTTGATATTTTCATGTGTCTTCTTCGTTTCAGAGTTCGTTTGTGTCAAAACTTGTATACACATAAATTTGATGTTGTTCCATTATTATGGATTTAAACTATTACCTAATTCTTTTGTTTTCTGTTTATCATCATTTTACATTAAGTTCATCTTTGGAAGTTTGGATGTTATTTAAAGGTTAATATATGTCCACATGTGATGATGAAAGTTGGTGTTGTAATGTCTTCTGTCATTAGTGGATTCTTTGAAGTATTTGGTAAAAATAATGCCTAGTCCAGTCCACTTAACAGTAATGATTTATTCAGTTTCTTCAATAACAGGATATGTTCACTTTGACACAAGTTGTAAGTCCAGGTGCACAAACAGTGTTTCAATAGAAAATGTGGTACTTATGTACAACTAACTAACTTTTGAACTTTTCAACAGAAATTTATTGTTAATCAAATGATAACAAACACTAATTAACCCCTTCAGTAACTCTGCTGACTAAATCACTCGGTCTCTCTGCTTGACTGATTCTCATATTAATATTTTACCCTAGTTTCTACATCCACACAAAATTTATAGATTCTACAGAGGCCTTAACTTTCATGAACTTTCTAGATATTGCATCATGTGCCCTCAAGCAAACAAACATTGAAATTAAAATATTAAAAATATAACTTCCAACACTGCCCCCTTTCTGAATTGGGAAGTCCCTTGAACAATCTTAATACATAAATAAAATTGTCCATTTACCAAATCTTTTTAGTGGTTTTCTTTTCCAAGGGTTATGGTATGCAAATGGGATGACCTTTTGTCCCTTATCATCTCTTGCTATCCTAGCTGTCAGTAAGGGAGTTCTTCCTAGGAGGTGTTTAAGTCAATCTGTTGGTGTGTCTCTCCTGAACTGACATAGAATTTCCCTTAGCCTGTAATAAGCATTTCTGAAGATCTTTCCATGTGTGATTATGTGATCCAAGTAGATGAGTATGACATTCCAGGCTAGTTCAGAGAGAGAGAGCACATTCCATTAGTCACTGAAATCTAGCAAATGAATAAAGTAATCTAAATAGTAATACAACAAATGCCCCCAATCCATTTCTTACAGAAAATTATTTATTTTCTCTTCTTGCTTCATCAGGTTGCTTTTACCAGTATTCACTCTTCAGATCCAATGTTGAAAACCATTTTGATCCAAATAAAGCATCCAAATAGTTAATCCTTTGCTGTATGTAGGCATCCTTCTTTGTTACTTCATTTAATTTCCGGTAGTTCACATAGAACATTGTTCATTCATCTTTCTTCTTAACAAGTATAATATATGATGCCCCAGGACTAGTACTCAGTTCTGTTACTCTTTATTCTTTCATACTTCTATCTCTTTGAAAGCCTCATTCTGTTTTGCAAATTGGATTTGTCTGACTAACTGATGTATTGGGGTTGCATCTTCAGTACCAACCTTGTTAGAGATATT